CTCTTTGTTTGAAAAAATAAGTCAATTTAAATTTTTTTGTTCTATTTTAGTTGATAATTTTTTATACTAACTTATATATAATAATTACATTTTTTTACATATTATTTTTCAATAGTTTTATTTAATAAAAATTAATTATAATTCAATTAAAATAATAAAATTATCAGTTAAAATTACATAAAATAAGTCAAACAACTTTGGTTTAAAACATATAAAGCAAAGAACTTTAAAGATTAAATTCATTAGTAAACTAGTATTATTTTGTAAATTAAATTTTAAATTGATACTTACAAAATTAATTTACTTGAATGTATGAAAAGGATGTAAAAAGTGTGCTCTAAAAATAACTTAAAAAAGAATTTTTAAATAAGTAAAACTTAAAAAAAAACACTTTATAATAAATTAAAAAAAATAAAATTAGTGCATGTTTGGTACAAATGGTTAAAAATTCTTTTAAATTTTAAAAATTTCAATTGTACTAAACATTATAACTTGTAAAAATTATTATAACTTCTCATAAATTAATTTTTTATTTATTTTATTGTAAATTTTAAAAACACTAAATTAATACTTTTAAAAGAATTTTTCACTTAAATTTTAATAAAATTAATACGTTGTTTATTTTTTTTATTTTTTATTTACAAAAATAATTTTTTCATAATAATTTTTTTCAAACAAAATTTTTATTAAATAAAAACTTTAGTATCATATTGATATAACTTGCGAATTGTAATAATAAAAAGCATCCGATTCAGAATTTCAATGATGGAAGCGACGCGGAAAGAACGTGTGAAATTGAGAAAATTTGGGGAGCAATTTAAAGCTGTTTCGCGCTATCATTATTGAAGACAGACAGGGTCGAAATCTGGTCCGTTGTAACAACCACGATTTGTTGACGTGGATGGCCAAGATGCAAAAGGACAAATGAGAAAGAATCTTTTGACTTTTGCGTAGAGTTGGTGGGGTTGCTTTTTCGTGGAACAGTTGTCGCGCAATAACGCGGAAGGAGACTATAACCCACTTTTTCTTTTTCTTTTTCTTTTTCCTATAAAATTTTATTTTTTATTAGACAATAAAAATAATTCAATCGGTAGACACAAGTCACACAACGAAGGCACTAGGAAAGGAATGTACAAATTCGAATTTTTAACTTATTTTAATTGGGGATTTACGCAACATATTTTATTAAAATTTTTTAATAAATTTATAAAATAAATTATACTTTTAATTTGTAATTTATTTTATAATTTTTTTATTTTGTTTTCATTAATAATTTTGTTTTTGAATGAATTACAATTTAAAAAGAAATTAAAATTTTAATAACAAAACTGATAATTTTTTTTTCTGTAGATCATCTGGTATTCAAAAGTTCATTAAGTTACTTACTAATCCATATTCGAGTCATAGAGAACCTAACAAACAACAATACTTTTTCTTACGAGTTTTAACAGAATTATATTTTCAAAATTTAAAATTAAAATATTTAATTAAACTGAAAGATTCCTTATCAATTTACCCACCCCTTCGTGAGTACAAAATTGATAATGTATCTTACTATAAAACATATAATCATCGAGTTACAAATCCCATGTTCTAATCAATAGCTTACTTGATTTGTGAAAAAG